TTCGAGTTTTTTTATATATATATATATATATATATATATATATATATGAAATAGGACGAGAAAGGGGGATAGGGCTAGTCATTCATACTCCGCTCTTGATTCCTGGGTCGCGGCACTCATCGTTCTAGCCTATTTCCACTCAAAATCACTTGATTGCTAGGCTGTGCTGTTCTCGGATATGCACCACATCCAGTGAAGATACGTGTGACCTGATTCACTGTGATTGGGCCAGTGAAATCCTGTACTTGAATTCAAGCGACAACCGAACTTGATTTACATGGTTATAGGATGGGAATTTCGCAGGCACATAACTGAGGAGTAGCAACACACTCACTTTAGGGCAGGGCTCCTGAAACAGCGGCCCACTGGAACTCCGTATCAGGGCTGAAGAAATTTTCTCTTCACTCAACAAAGCTGGGGAACCATTCAGTTAAATACGATCTGTTTGGAAGCTACTAAGAGAGCGAGGGTGAGGAAGATCTCGATTATTATTGCTTATACATTATGATAAGGCCCGGAAGAACGACCAACTGGGCTGTGAGATAAAAAGTCGGCGCTCAGAGTATGCTTCGTAATGAGACAAGAGAAATTAAGCTTCGGTGTCTTACGCACTGAGTATTCCATGTTTTCGAATATGACGAAGCTAGCTGTGGACAGTAGGATGATTTTGATAGTTTCTCATTTGTTTTTGGCATATTAATTTCCATCAGGGGATGAAAATTGCTCAAGTTATCACAATACAGAGATACGTCCTGCTGTGGTGGAAGCGGACAGACAAGTGAGACCCCCTGAACGCATCGGTACGGTAGCACCCCATCTGTCATTGCACGACAGCCATCCTCTTTTGATGGCAGGTCAAAATTTTTATTTATTCTTATGCCCACGGATACATACACTGGGGAGCTTGAGAAATTACTTGGGAAATTACTGACTGGAACGTCCATGGTTCGAACCCAACCTTGGCATCTCGACTGCTTCTGTTTAGGCTTGGGCAAACTGGCAGTATCTCGGCCCGCTTGCTTCCGTCGGTGGGCTTGGCTAGTAGGCACTGAAGTGGTGTTGCAATCGAGCATTTGCTCATTGCTATTATTCTGTTTAGCTTGGGCAAACTGGCAGTATCTCGGCCCGCTTGCTTCCGTCGGTGGGCTTGGCTAGTAGGCACTGAAGTGGTGTTGCAATCGAGCATTTGCTCATTGCTATTAAACATTACTCGAGTTTCCAACAACCTCATGTTTGTTTCCGTTTTATGAGAATACGTCAGTACCTTTTCAGGAATTCGAGTGGAAAATAAAATCTAGACCTTTGCACTATTTTCAAGAGGAAAACAGCGTCGGGGAGTGATTCGCCGATCGATTTCCTTTGGATGTTGATGTCAGGATACCGAGGACTCATCATGAACAAATCATACCAGGCGTGTGACAGCATGGTTACTATAAAGAGATGATCATCGCAGCAGGGTTTTATCGTACATTTTGGCTGTATTTTGTCCACGGAAATATAGCAGAACAGCATACTGGCCTGTGATGAAAAAAGTTACGAGACTTCTTTATCACTGTCCAAGCTCAAAACTGCAGCTATATTCTCTGTTGGATGATTCATCCAACTTGAATCCTTAACAATCCGCATGCATTCCTCGTGTTAGTGTTCCCACGAAGCAGATATCATCACAGAATTTGGAGCACGGTATTTTCTAGAGGATAGGTTACCTCCTATTAAGAAAGATCACTATGGTATCATGAGGCTCAGCTGAGAACCTCGGAGAAACTACCCGCAAATCCCCGAAGTGCTCTGCTCCCTCTCTCAACAGTGTTGTGTCTTGGTAAACGGTAGTGCAACTCTGTATCGGTCCTGCTCCGCCCACTACGGTACATCAAAAGGCACGGTAGCTCTACACAGCCCTTTATGGAGACAAAGAAAAAATATTACAACTGTATTTATAAGGTTTCACAAGGTCGTTCCAGAATCTCTGTGAGGGGGCGAGAAGCGTCGAGTCAAAGGTGCTTGATTCGGATTGGCTGGCATTCTGACCAATCAGGACATGCCTTTCGTTTGGCCGTGTCCTGCACGTGACATCCGTCCGGTTATTAGGGACCGCTAGCCTTCCAAGGAAGTAGCTTTACTTCTACTGGGGTAGTGGTTGGTGGCTTTGTGTGGACGACCAAACTAATCGCTACACGTCGTTAATTTCAGTATTTCATAGCATTGGTACTCGAGTGCACATAGTTGCCATCATCGTTGAAATCGATATCAGGGAAGAAAGTTGGTGCTCAACTGACGTACAACCATGTCAATATATTTGAATAATGAGAAGAAAAATTGAGACGGGTAGGTGGATATAGGGACAGCTTAGCACAAAATACAATACAGAGGGTAAGAAAAATCTGTATGGTACTGAGCGCGTTCCCAGGTTGTGACAGGACAGCGGCCCCTCGTTTCCACGGAAGAATAAGTGGGAATGAGCCAACTACGGCGAACGAACAGTAGTGCATAAGCACGGGTGATACTACAAGAATGTAATTTGTGCTTGCTTGGACAACTGATCCTTTAAATGGGCTGCGAGCGCCCAAACGAGGGTATCATATCACAGCCGGTGTAACTGGCCTAGGGGAGTCATCGACCACTCGCTCTTAAGTCCACCAAGGTGCAGCATCCGAGAGAAGATTCATGAGCAATTCTGCGTGAAGGATGCGTCACAGAAAACTTCAGTTGAAGGGACCTCATTTAACTGTCACTGATTTCTCCACAAGAACTGCTACGGTTGGCACCCGGCTCCATTCGACTCAGTAATGGATGCGACCGGCCTGCTTGGTGTTAGCAGTAAGCATCTCACCTACCAGTTCAGTGAATTGCGAACTCAGTGATTTGCTCCATTGTTATGTGAGTGAAGCTCTTTAGTTAGTGGCTTAGTGCGCTTGAGTTAATCCTCTACTTCGGTCCGAGCAACTGTTGTGTAATAAGGCACCGTAATTCAATACAAAGCGCACCTTCTCACCAAACAAATTTTCGCGACATTTACAGTTTTGGCGCCACTGAAAATAGTTCTACTCCTCCACCCCTCGGTTTTTGCCCCAGCCCGGTCTTCTTCACGATACTTTCACTCATGAAGTTCAGGGATTAGGGGGACTAATCTCGATCTAGGAGTACTACCGACAAAATAGTTGATTGTTAGAAACCTGTATTGATGATCTGATTGTTGTAATTTGCTAAACTACATATCACGAAAATGACCAGATGACATAACGTTTTCGACGCTCCCGTGGCCAAAAACCTCTTTATCGAGACTGGCTGGTACAGTCCACGCGGCGACACCGTACAACAGCTGCAAGACCAGCAGGGGCAATCGTCATAAAGACAGAAAATGCCTCCTGCACCACACTGACTAACTGACCTGCCGAAGACATCACGGATGAATTTGATGCCCACTGTCAGGATCGTCTTCAGCGTCGAGTACGAACGAATGCCGTAGTGTTGACTGGAAACTTGAGCACTTGATTCAAGTTCAAGGTTAATTTAATTCAAGGTTTAATGGTCTAAAAAGCAATTCACTTTACAACGACCATAGGGTGAACGTATATACACAAAGGGACGGAAGAATATGCGTAATGTTTACTGAGTATCACATGGAGTTAAAGAGTTCCAGGTTCGGTTTGGACATAAGATGTGTATCTAAATTGTTCTTGAAAATGGTTAAACTCGGCGAATGTACA